CTCTGTGTGCCCTGTGTGTGTGTGTGCCCTGTGTGTGTGTGTGCCCTGTGTGTGTGTACTCTGTGTGTGTGTACTCTGTGTATGTGTGCCCTGTGTGTACTCTGTGTGCCCTGTGTGTGTGTGTGCCCTGTGTGTGTGTACTCTGTGTGTGTGTGTGCCCTGTGTGCTCAATTCTGTGAGAATGGCGGTAATTAAGAGGCCCTGTGGCCACCCCCTGCCGTTCTCAGGTACACCTTTGGAAAGCCGGTGACAGGCAAGCTGAAGGTGAACATGACAGTGAACGGAGTGGGGTACTACCGGCACGAGGTGGGGCACTCCGTGGCGAAGGCGATGGAGGTGAGGGGTGCACCGGAGGAGGCGGTAGTCTGAGATGCCCGTCTTGGCATTGAGCCCCTCATAAATGGGGGATTAGCGGGGATCCCCAACTCCCACCCAGGAATATTTCTCAGGTCAGGGGATAGACAACACCAGTGCAGCAGATCTGACCCGAATAATGTGATCAGCCAGGACAGGAGCAGAGGACACCTGTACAACACACACACGTGTCTTCAATTCTTCTGGAAGCTCGTGCTGAAATGCCCAGCTACCCCCCCAAAATGATTTTAACCTTAATTAATTATTAATAATGAATGATTCACTGCTCAGCCTCCAGTTCCAGCCTGCTCAGCGCGTGTACCTCATCTCCTCTCTGTGGCCCTCCCCACCCCACCCCCCAGATCGACGGCACCGCGACCTTCGACCTTTGCGTGAAGGAGCTGATGCCCCTGGACGTGGCGGATCACTTCCGGGGCACGGTGCACATGTGGGCGGCGGTGACCGCGGCCGACGGGAGCCAGCAGGTGACCTTCGACGACTCCACGCCGGTGCACAAGCAGCTCATCGACATCAAGTACTCCAGGGACACCCGCAAGCTGTTCAAGCCCGGCCTGCCCTACAAAGGCAAGGTAATGGAGACCTGCGAACACTGGGGCGTCCGCCAGCATGCACACACCCTCTTGGGGGAGGTGGGGGAGCACCAGGGTCCGTCCCAGGGGTTCATGTACACAAATCGCAGCATTGAAGTCAGCAGCTCCAGACAGTAAGACAATAATAAGCATCCCTTGACCTTGGTCTCTGAGAATAGGAATAGGAATAATCCTCATACTTCTATAGCGCTTTTCTGGACACTCCACTCAGAGCGCGGTACAGGGAAT